ACTGGAGAAAGGGGGGGTCTGTTCACAGGGTTATCACCAGACATTCAAGCTGGCTGTGGCCATGTGAGCTCATGCCAGTGGTCTGAAACCCAGCTAGGGGGCAGAGGGGCACTGAGCTGTTTGCCCACAGAATAAAACCTCTGCTTCCAGTGTCACAGAGCCATCGTGGTTGCTGGCACAGGTTGCAAAGCTCCCCTGAGGCTCTTCCTGCCAGAAAGGACCATAAATCAGGAGTGAGGGACTTTCTGCTGGCTGAGATGCCAAGGAGGCCCCTTAAACACCTTCCAGGGTCTCACACACCTGGGTGGCAGGCAGTGCTATGACAGGAGGTCCCCTCACAGCCACAGACTGTAGGAAATCAAGCTGTTAGCTAGAGAGATGGGTCCTGTGCCTGTTAAATCAACCTGGCCAGCTTTATCTGTAGCTCCTGGGGCTTTTGTTGTTGAGTTTTTTTTTGCCTCAGGGCTTCTAAGATGGGGAGGTAGGTCATGGACAACCTGGAGATTGGTCTGTCCATGGCACATCCATCCAGCTGAGGTGCCCTGGAGTGTGCAGGTGCAATGGGTACGTTGGGGTGATGGAAGTGGAAGTGGTTTGAAGGTGTCCATGAACACCAGTGCTGGCACTAAATCTGGTGCTTGTGCAAATCTAGACATCACCTGCCTCCAAGATGTATTTTTGGGGTTAATACCCAAGCACCTAAATGCTTTGTCCTCCTCCAGGTTTGGCCATCATGATGCAGCTAGCCAGGGAGCTGAAGACACTGGCCAGGGAGTTCAGCCTGGCTGTTGTGGTGAGTGAGACCTTGTCCTTCTCGTGCTGGTGTGTGCCATGGTGAGGAGCCCTGGAGGGCCCCTCTGGGAGGGGGACCCTGCTCCCAGCTAAGCAGGAGCAAGAGGCCTGGATCCCACAGTGCTCTGCTCCCCTGCAGCCTGCAGATGTCCTGTTCCAGCAAGGGTGGAGCAAAAGCAGGGCTGATTTGCTGCCTGCTTTTATGGCTGTCCTCGACCAACAGGGCAACTGATGAGCAATGAAGTGACAAGGATGGGGTCCCTGCAGGGACCCTTGGAGCCTCCAAGTTGAACTTTGCAGGTGACTTCAGCACCAGGAGTGGCTGCAGTTGCAGATAGGAGCGAGCTCCTACCTGAGTATGTGTCTGGGACAGTTGTGGGGGCTCTGTTTAGAGGGGATGGAATGGGTGTGCCCAGCAGGAGGGCTCAGCATGGAGAAAAAACCTTCACAGGAGTAGCAGACTGGCTGTTCTCTCCTGGTGATCTGCAGTGCTCCCTTGCCTTGGGTGGCACTGCTTTTCCCAGCCACTGATAAGCCTGTTTGTGCTGCAGGGGACTAACCAGGTGACAAGGGACAGCAGCACTGGTCTGCTGAAGCCAGCCCTCGGCCGCTCCTGGAGTTTCGTGCCCAGCACCCGGGTGCTGCTGGAGAGCAAAGAAACCACCTGGGGGAAACCCAGCACACGGCGTGTTGCGGCCCTGGCCAAGTCCCCGCGGCAGGTGAGGCTCCCTGGAGCAGCCCTGGTGGTGCAGGAGCAGCTGGGTGTGCCAGAGGCCTGGCTGTGGACCAGAGGGAGGCTCCTCAGGGGCACAGGGCAGGATCAGGCCTCGCTGGGTGACCCATGGTGGTCAGAGGGGAGGAAATGCCACCTGGCTGGGAGCTGTGGAAGAGAAGAGTGTCTGTTCCCAGCAGCCTGAGCTTGTGTTTACAGGCAGGATGAACGGGGGGCACCACTCCCAGTCCAGGTCACCACGTTCCCTGTGCTTGGCTCGCTCTCCTGATGAGGCTCCTGCAGAGCTGGCCTCAAAACCTGCAGAGGTGACTTGGGCTTGAACCCCTGCTGACATACAGGACAGGGCTGCCTGAGCCCCTGGCTCCCAGCCCACCCTGCAGCCTGATCCCAGTGGTTTGGGTGTGGTGGGATTCTGGGCAGCAAAACACACCCTGGGTGTGCTGAGTAACAGTGTGTCCCAGGGACCTCAGAGCAAGGTGTTCTCACTGAACTGCAGTCTCCATTTGGATCTCTGTTCAGCAGACCCAGTTAAAATGAGGACACTGGCAGAAGGAAACCCTCAAGGGGATGTAATTTGGGATTTTGGGCTCTGGGGCAGGTGTTGGAGCACTGTACAGAGTGCCAGCAGTGTGAAGTTAAGCTCCTCTCTGCTTCTCCTTGCAGCCAACAGGGGTACAGGTGGAGCTGGATATTGGACATGGTGACGTGCAGGAGCTGAGCCCAGCAACACCCACACAGGGGCTCTGATGCAGGTGGGAAAGCAAATGCCAAGGTCCAGAAGAGCTGCATAAAAAGCAGACAAGCACTCTGAAGGTTTTACAGACTGCCTCTGAGAGTCCTGCAGCTCTGGAAAAGAGCAGTGTGAAGAAGGTCTCGTTCTTGTGTGCTGGGAAGAAAAGGAGCATGGAGTTCCCCAGGGATCTCCTTGCCTCAGCAGATGCAGCCCACGATGGCTGGGCTGTGTGTGCAGCACGACAGGCAGGTCCTCTCCTCTGCTGCAGGCTTGTCTTCAACCAGCAGAGCCAGCCCTGTCCTGAGGTGTTGGCTGGGGACCAACTGGCACATCCCTGCACAAACCCATGACTTCTCCTGGTGGGTTTGTCCCCTCATAACTCACTGCTCTGTGGCCCTGGAGCTCTGATGTCCTTCAGCAGCCCACAGTGGTCTTGGTTCAGAAATAAAAAAGAAGTTCTTGCACACTGCTGTGGTTGTGGAGAGCTGGAATCCAGTTGAGGGTGGCTGCTGTTGACTGAATTAAAATGCTGAGCTGTAGTCCCTGGCAGGTCTGAGGTGGGACAGGCTGCTGATGAGCAGGGACAGCATTGGATGCTTGCTCTGACCTTCTCCCCAGAGTAACACCAGGGCTGCTGGGGTGTTTGTGGCACTGCTGTGCTGCATGAGGGATTTCTGTTCACCACTGGAGGTTATGGTCTGGCTCAGCTGAGTCCTGGCAGACACCAGCTGGCCCTGCCTGATGCATATGGTGAAGTTTAAAATAATCTCTCCTTGCTCCAGTGCTTTCCAGCTGCTCTTGCCTGCCCTGGGCCACCTTGCAGGGGCTTGTGGAGTGCCAGGGAGGGGATGGGAGCCTGGGGTGGAGCTCGGCCTCTCCATCCCAGGAGTCTTACACCTTCATCCCCTGCTTCATCACAGACCTTGGCAGGTGAGCTGAGCCATGACTTGCACTTCTGAGGCTGCTGATGCAGGTTGTGGGGGCTGGGACTCATCAGGGCCTGCTGGTGAGACTAATAACACAGTGCTGCAGCTCCAGGAGCCTTCTGAGGCTGGGCTGGGCAAAGAGGAGCCTGATCCAGCCAGAATTTGGGTGCTAATTCCTCCAGAGCAGACAGAACACCATAAAGCCCTGTACTCCTGAGGAAACCCCTGCAGGGAAGGGGCAGCTCGCAGGGGGGTGTGAACACCTTTTGGTTTCCCAAGAGGCAGTGCCTCTCGGCACAGGGTTTTGGTTTGCAGGTCCATCAGGGTTGTGCTTCTTGTGGAACCAAGCTCCTGGTGCTCACGGGGCAGATCCCACCTCCCCCATGGTGGCCACCCAGCCCCTGCAGCCCCCTGCCCGTGGGACAGGCTGTGCTCTCAGCAGGTGCTGTCTGAGGAGGGGACTGTGCCAAAGCAACGTGACCTGTGCCCTTAAACAATTTTTCAGTAGAAATAAACCTATTTTAAAGTTGTGCGTTTGCATGTCTGGGTTTTCCAAGCTTGGGAGGGCAGGTTTGGCCCCAGGGATTGCAGCCTGGCTGCCTGGGATGAGGAGGAGGATGGTTTTCCTGTCCACTGGGGACGTGTGCTGATGTAGCTGGTGCATACAAGCAGAAAAATTAGCAGGTTGTGTCTCCTGAAGCTGTGAATAAAGAGCTGGTACACACAAATTTCAACCAGAACTGTGCACTACTACTCTACCACTCTGCCTGAGGTTCTGTAGGGGAAGCAAAGCTCTTGTAGGGGGCTGTGGAGCAGGGGGAGGGCCAAATGAAACCTCTTTGGTTACATTTGAACCAAGGGGCCTTTCTGGTCGTCTCCTCCTCCTAACTGGCAGGAAGGTGAGAAGGGGATCAGCCCTGCATCAGCCTCAGCGTGAGAGCAGCCGTGGCCCCCAGGAGTGCCAGAAGGAACTCTGCTCTTGTCCCAGGTCCCCACGGAGCAGCCAGGGGATGGTGACTCCACAGGGACGGTGCCAGTCGGTCGGGAAGAGAGACGGCGTGTGGGCTGTGCTCCTCCTGAGCTGCCTGGCCATGGTTTGTTTTGTGCCCCCTTGGGAACCAGCTGGGAAGGTCAGGGAGGAGGGGGTGATTTGGTCACAGCCGAGCTCCAGGAGCAGCTCCTGGGCTGCTGGATCCCCTGCTGCCCGGGCAGGCAGCGTGTGCAGGAGGGGTGGGTGAGGTCCGGCCGTGCTGCCTTGCCCCAGGGATGGTGTTGCTCTGGGTACTGCTCCGTGTGGGCACAGCAGAAGGGGTCAGGCCATGGGAATGTATTTCCCAATCTGGAAAAACTTGACTTCTCACTGAAGCTGATTTGCCCTAAATTTGCATTGTAAAATTAGGCTGAAAAGAGTTTCTGTCCTCAATATCCTAATTTGGCGTTTCTCCACCGTGCTCAGGCAGCACTCCTGCAATCCTCTGAGACTGTGCCAGCACTCACAGGGACCTGCCCTCTCCCTGCTCCTTCCCCTTGCCCAAATCAGCTGGAAAACTGCTGGAAATGCCCAGCGCCGGGTGATAAAGCCCAGGGCAGAGAGGGTACCCCTTGCCACAGGCAGGGGGGGTGCTTGTTGGCTTTGGGGGCTCACTTGCCATTGAGATCTATAAAAGACACTCAGAAATGTGTGTGTATAGATAGGGTCTGCATGGCTGTGTGCCTGGGGGGGTGTGGACATGCCTGTGTACACCTGGCCGTGTGTAGATACCTATACAGGTGTGCCTGTGCCCACATGTGTGCTTCCTGAGCAACGCAGCCAACTCCCGGCCGTGCCGCAGAAGCTCCCCCGAAACACATAGAATTATAGAATCCTTTAGGTT